AGGCACCACCACCTAGATTAGAAAGCTACTTTTTCTTTCGTTTCGTGGGGTAGCCCCCCAGGGGAAACTCTCGCCATTTTTTTACCATGAATTTTCGGGAGGGGGGTTGCCGCAACTGGTTGGGGGCAAACTGGGTTGGGGGCCGGGGGTCTATTTGAGCTGGCCTTGTGGCCGGACAGCTTGGGGTGTATGATATATTAAGATTTATCACCTAGAAGTAACTCTGGCCATTTGTTACACCATATCTTTTCGGGGCGGGGGGTAAACTGGGCTGATTATATAATATAACGATGGCTGGTTGAGCACGGCGGGCTCTTGGATTGGTTTGGGCAGTGCCTCTGCGTTGTTGCTGATTGACTCCACACAGTCCTTTGTTTGCCTCGCCTGGATTGTTGAAACTCCCTAAAGCCCTGAGCCGTTCCGAGATCGAGACACAACGCCGCCATGGCCATCAGAGTCAGCGTCAAGCCAGGACCTCATCACTCCGAGTGCGTTTTTTGATTGGGATTGGAAGGTTTTGCCTGGGGTGCACGGTTGCTGAGAAGGGGCCAACAGCATGGGGGGCACCGGGACCTTTGAATGACTGTTCTGCGTCACCAGGTCGCGCCCGGCGTCGCCGCTGCTGAGCTTCGTCAGAGTCAGACGGAGCAGGCGGATCCAGTGTTGGGCTTTGGGTCTAGGTCTAGGGTTTTGGGGTTCTTAGTAAATTTGGGGGATTATGTCAATATAATGAATCTCAAACATCATAATAAACGTTGTGGGGTTCGGGGGCATCAAGATGACTTTAAAGTTCTAAACCCTAAACCCTTCAAGGGCCTATGAGCGGCTTGGGTTTCGGGTTGCAGCTTGGGTGGGACAATTGGGTTGCCTAAACCTTAAATCCTAAACCCTAAACCCTAATCCTGTCCGAGTGTGAGCGCCGAAACCCTAATCCTGAAGCCTTTCGGCTGGTAAGGGGCGTGTATTGCTCCGAAGTTCCGAAGTCCCACATCACATGATTGGCCCAGTCCCGGAGTCAGGGTCAAACCACACAATCATGCTGGGGTGGACGATTCAAAAATAACAATAATATATCCCGACTGCAAACTCCTTTCCGAATCAAGTTTCACACCTTTGCCGATTGCCGCCATGGACTTTTCAGATTTTTCTTCCAAGGGCGGCGGTGGCAAAGGCGGGGCTGGCAAAGGCGGCGTGGTCAGAGTCAAGAAGAAGAACAAGAAGAAGAAGGCGCACGGTGGAAAGGCTGCGCGGGAGAAGCGTCACAAAGACTTTGCAGATCGCATGGCTGGGCTGGATGACGTGCGCGAGGCCCATGAGACTTTGCTTGAAGCCATCTGGGTTTAGTTTTTTGGTTAAACTTTTGTTCGGGGTTATTATGTTTGCGG